TCCTCGAGCTGTGGAGGATGACAACTAGGGTCTTGATGAAAACGAGTAGGAAAAGAGGTGAAATACAGTTCAGCATGAATGTTATACTTAAAATTTACTTTTTATAAACTAAAAAGTTCTAATTTTGTCAGACGTACTAAATCGGTATACTTTCTAGTACACTACAAGTACATGGTGAGTAATAAACTTGATATCCTTAAACCTATACACAAGTTTAATTAAAATGAACTTCAAATATACTACTTTTTGCGAAGGGTAATATTAAAGCGTGACGAAAACAGAAACTATACTCGACACAGAGTCAACATGTTAAACACAATTCACATTTACACATGATAGAAGGAAACATGCTCAGTTCCCAGCACAATAAAACAATAAAAGATAACAAGAATAACTCTCATAAGACAAACAAAACATACTTGCAACATGCAGAAGAGGTAGAATCAGTGCAGGTGTATCTTCAACAGGATGGCAGCAGAACTTAAATTGTTATTTATGCTGACTTTTCCAATATCTTGCAGCCCCATTTCTGAATTTATCATTGCTCTTCTTTTTTTCAATATTAAAATTAATATCCCTAGTTATTAGGGATGTTAAAAATCTCATAATTTTTTATTAAGGTATGATGTTCAAATGGTGACGGCTCTGAAAGTTCAAATGAGCAGGAAGGAGTTGTCTTTCAGACTGGGACAAACTCAAGTTCTTGGCAGGTGAAGCTGATGAGTCAGTGTAGAGTGGTGGAGGTGTGGTGCTGGTATTTGAACTCTCCCCTACTTCCCCACCTTTCTATTCAGTAACTCCAGCTTTAGATGCTCAAGGCCCAAATACCTGACTCCACCTTACACACACACGCACACACACACACACAAACGCACGCGCGCGCACACACACACACACACCATCCCAGTACATACCTAACCTCCCACAATTTACACCTTAGTTCTAAACCTAACCCCCAAACTAAAAGGGCATTTGAACGGGTTTCAGGCTTTAGGCTCATAAGTTCAGTGGTTAGCAGAGTATTCTCACAAGGTAGTTTACTTGTGAAAAAATGGGTCTTCTACACACACTTGTCAGACTGTTTATCTCTTATTGTGAAACGGTTGATTGAAAGTTTCTTGTTGAGCAACATTTTTATAAGTATGAACATAAGAACACAACAGTTGTTACTTAAGTTGTGTGTTGTTTTTTAGGTGCTGGGGGTGATCTATTACAATGCTGTACTCATGCTTTTATTAATTATAATTCTGTGTAGTTGATTACATAGGTTTTTTCAGTTTTAGCTTGTTTTGAGCAGTTTCCAACCAATCAGTTAAGGTTTTTGGTTTCACTGCTTTTTATTTTCCCTGTTGATGACTGTAATTTATCCAGCTATAGAATTTATTTATTTATTTATTTATTAATTTTTTTATTTATTTATTTATTTATTTAAACT